GTATAACTATGTTGATGACAGTATGGTAGATGAGATGAAAACAATCAGAAGTATAAATAAACGGCCTTTCACCATTATTCGGCAGCCATATTGAATTTTCACTTTCAATGGGGTTTAAAATAGATTTTTCAGACTTAAATCAATAATTTCTTAAATAAATGAAGCCTGGCAACATACTACTGTTTTCTCAGTTTTACAAGATTACAAATTTTTATGAAATCTGAAGTAATGTGTGTTTTTGTTTACCTGGGAGTGAACGTTCATGTGCTGCTCCAGGCTCACAGCGTGCCCAAAGGTTTTCCTACAGATGCTGCAGCCAAAAGGTCTCATTCCGCTGTGCGACCGCCTGACATGAACCTCCAGTCCATGAGAAGTTGAGAACACCTGAACAACAAGAAACAGCAAAAACAACCTGAGTAAATTAAAGGCAAATGTTGATTTTATTTGCTAACAGAAAACATTTACTCAAACCCCTGAGCCGCACTTTGGACACCCCTGAGTGGAATAATTTGTACAAGACAAGGTTGGTTTTGATTGGCTCTTATTTTAATAAATGAAATCATCATTTTAAATATTGACATTCCATGCAGTGATGAGAAAAGCTGCCTACTTTGTCGCAGGTGATGCAGTGGTAGGTGTTGGAGGTGGGGGAGTAGTGCGTGCTGCAGTCCAGCGGCTGCTGCGGCGGCGGACTGCGGCTGATGTGGCCGCCGTACAGGCTGCTGGCGTGCTGCAGCACCGTGGGGCTGAAGCTCAGCTGCCGCAGCTCGTAGGACGACGACACCGGCTCCCAGGCGTACGAAGGCTTGTAGTAAGGTGGGAACTCGGCCATGTGGGGCTCTAACACAGGAAGAACAAGTGGAGAGGTGAAATATTATGTTTCCCTTTACAGGTTGGGACACAAAACATGTTCATTACAGTTTGTGCACAAAGTCATTCTTTGATAATAAGATTTCAGCTTTCCAGCAGCCATTGTACAGCACACAGAGCAGTAAAACCAGCTGACCAACCATACCGGAGTTCCGCTTGAGTTGCTAGGTAACAGGCTGGGGTTGCTAGGCAACGGCGCAGTGCCTGTGGATTTGTGACGTTGCATTCCGGAGGTTTTTTGAAATGGCTCATTTCGGGACACCAAAAACAATTAACTTATTGCCAAAAAAAATGCTAAGTGTTTTCCTTAGAAAGCAGCTGAGAACTAGATGGAAGTACAAAACGTTTACATAGTGTCAAATTTATTCTTTAAAAATGGGACATTGGATATCATTTAGCATTTACATGCAAATATATGAGATTATAGCCAAGTGACTAATTTTCATATCTAGTTCCACTGGCAGGATGATGATAATGTAAAGTTTAATGAGAAGAAAAGAAGAACAAGCAGAATCAGACTACTGCATAAAACCTTTCCACTGAACTCTGATCTAGAACCGCACAGCATTCTGGGAGATGTAGGCGTACAGACTTATAGCCGCTCAACCTCTCTCAGCCAGTTAAGTTTGTTTGGTGCAATCAACTAACTCACTCACTCTTTGGTTACCTAGCAACAACCTGCTGGATAACAAGCAGCAGTTCCAGGTTTCGCCATAACTGCTTAAAACTAAACAATAACTGCGGATAAAACAGGAAAGACCTCAGTTTGGCAGCATTTCACACATTTAAAACACAAAAACTACTCAATACATAGTTTTCATGTGACGTCACACCTCCGTGAACTTTGTAACTGACAGCCATGTTGCCAGGCGGTTGCTATGGAGTTTCTATGACAACGATAACAAGCCTCAAACTTAGCGCTAACTCTCGACTCGTTCCTATCTAACTTACAAACAATAAAATACATTACAACTACTTGAGTACTCTACAGATCTCTGTGTAATACTAAGATAAATATCTGAGATATTTACTGTTGTACTGCCGAACTAGCAAAATTAGCTTAACTAATGTAACTTTTATCTGCTAGCTAACACCGACATGTAGCCTACGTGTTTGTTACTTCATTTACTTTGCCAATCACCAGAACCTTGTTAATCTGAAGAGTTTGCATCCTTTACAAATCCGTTTAAACGTTGATTATTTTGTACTCAATTTTTGTGTTAAATAGGCTGCTAACTGTATCATAGTATGAAATCGGAGGAACATCTCCGTTTTATACGAGTCAATCAAACTCAAACTGGTCAAGAATGTCCACATATTTTCTTTTTGTTGATCTCAAGCCGCTATGCTTTACGCTGTGTTTGCCTATTAAGATGGCGCGGACCACTTCCGGTTCAGACTTGTTTGGAATTATGTATATGATTATTTATATCAGCAGATGTGAAACGCTTAAAAAATCCGGACAGGCCCCTGCTAATGTAAAGCTGGTCTGGTTGAGGTACCGACCTGTCAGGTAGTAGGGCTGAGAGGGCGCCAGCGGCGGGCTGGCCGGCTCTGGGTGAGCAGGTAACGGACACTGCGGCTCTGAATCCTCCGGAGGGGAGCACCGGTCTGCGGACAGGGAGGGGCCCTCAGACAGGGGCTCCTCTGATGAGTCTGTGCTCTGCAGCTGCGACGGGACTTCTGATAAATGCACAAGAAATAAACAAAACAGTTGAGCACATTGCAAGCAGCTTTAATTTTTAATGCGTGCAACATTTAATCAAATGTTTATTTAGCGAAGAAAAGGTGATGCATTTTCCATTTAAAGTTTCAGATAAAGTCTTACCCTGGTCTTCAGACTCCGCCGGCTGATCCTCTTCATAAGTGCGATGGATGTTATAAGAGGCGCACCGTTTGTTTTTCACCAGAAATGACCGCGGCATGTTGATTCTGCGTCGCAAAAATAGCACACAAAACGTTTCATATTTGTTTTTAAATCAAATTAAGTATTCTAAAATGTCATTATAATGTTAAATAAATATTTAAGCTACACATTAGAATATGTTTTTTAAGGTTTTAGAATTGGTTAGAGCTAAAATGTAACTTTGAAGAAGTTTTTATTCTTGTTTACCGAAAACAATTAAAGATATTGTTGTTAACTGCCTGCTTGCGTTATTATACAATTTATGACAATGTGCAACAGTTGGCACCGACTCACCGTTAATTGAGCCCGAATTAAAACAACAATAATAAACTTTATAGATCCAAAATGCGTCGCAAGGAAAAAAAAAAGAAAAGAAACACAGAGAAAGAAATCCGTTTCCTAAAAGTTGCAGGCGCGTTAAGCAGAGTAAGAAGCATCATCAGCGCTCGCAGCTCGGTCTTTTTCTCCCCTCCCTGATTTTCAATCAGATAACTTCGCAGGGGAATCTGACTGTGGTTTCAGCCAATGAAAAGGCCAAGCTGCAGGTGGAAATTTGCTTAGAAAAACAGCGGCCTTCGGAACAGTTATACAAAACAGCCGCGAGTGCATGAGGGGGGAGAGACTTTTTAAAAAAAAATACACAACAGCACGTTAAATATGCGAAATATGCAACAAAAAAAATTAAAAATAAATCCTGCGTAATTAATTAAAATGCAGAAACAAGAACAACAAAAACTTTACTTCAACTTTTAAAAGAAATCTCTAACGCTTTCTGTTTGGTTTACTGGATTTACACAAAGTAAAGTAAAATAAAGTAAAGTTGTGTGTAAGATTTACGAGTCTTAATCTTCCACATATGTAACTTTAGCGCCTCCAAAGATACACATACCAAACCAGTCTGCTTATCCAAGCACAGCTAACTGGTGGTTGCTATGGCGACACAGAAACACAATTTATTCAGTCAATTAAATGAAAAGTTCATTTTAATACTAATAATAACCACAACCATCATCATCTTCCTCTTCTTAGTCATCATTATTATTTGTGAGAGTTTCGGTGTAAGAAGGACAAAATTAAGTTTGAGTGCAAGAGCGACATCTAGTGGACAGAAATATCAACGTGCCACATAATATAATATAATATAATATAATATAATATAATATAATATAATATAATATAATATAATAACATCATGTCATAAAATATGTTACTGCAAATATCGCAATGTTCATTTATTTCAGTAACTCCATTCAGTGAAGCAGATTATTTGCACACATTTGATGTTTTTAAGTCTTTATTTCTGTTAATTATGATGAGTTTATGCTACGGTTATTGAAAATACAGCATCAGACAAATGTGGTGATATAATGCTGCCATCATGTGAACCTGATGTGATGCACAGTGTATTAGTCTCAGTCTAAAGTTAAATTAAGAGTTCATGGTGAGATAAGTCAAATCTGGCTTCATTTCAGCGAATAAGTAAGAACTGATAAATATTTCAGTCTTTGTGTGCAAAAATGATCGAGACAAAAACTGGCAGCTGTAAAGGCAACATAAGGTGTTTTTATTTAGGGTCCCTAATATATAATCATTAGGATTGGTATTCTGACTTTAAAATCAGAACTGTAGTTTTATTATGAAATTTAAAATTTTATTATCAGAATTCTGATTTTATTATGATACTTTAATCAAAAAGATTTTGGACTTGAATCTCAAAATTTTGACTTTAACCTCACATAATTCTAACTTTATTAACAAATTTCAAACTTTAATATCAGACTTTTTTGCTTCAATCTCCGAATTATGACTTTAATCTATGAGAAATCAGACTTTAATCTCAAAATTCTGATATTAATCTCAGAATTCTAACATGATTATTATTATTATTAAAATTTCAAACATTATTATCAAAATTCTGAGTTTGATCTATGAGAATTCAGACGTTAATCTCAGAATTAAGACTTTTCTCTCAGAGTTATGATATTTTGTTGTCGGAATTAAAACTTTAATACCAATTTTCAAACTTTATCATCATAATTTTGACTTTAATCTCACAATCCCGACTTTAATTTTGGAATTTTGACATCAAGATTTCAGATTTTTTTTTCTACAGTGGAAATAATTATCTTCTGCCACACTAACAAAACCCACACCGACGTGTTTCTGTAAAATCTTATTTAATTTGCTTTTAAAAAGTAAAACTAAATCGCGCGTGCGCTCTCGGCATGTGGGTCACGCGAAGCCGCATTACACACAGTTCAGCCCTTCAGCAGCAGCGATGGGAAAACAAACTTTAACTGCGCGACAGAGATAAGAATCAGCCGCTATCCGTGTGGAAGCTCGAGCGGAGTGTCGGCTGTCGGGATTAGGATGATTTTCAGAAGCTGTCCCGGTTCGGTGCTGGTGGAAAAGCGGCAGCATTGAGGCGCAGAGCCGCTCGGAGTTGCGGGATTAGTTCGCTCGCAGCCTGACAGCGGAGGCTGACTGCGGTGGGATGGGCTGTGAGGTGTTCAAGATGGCGGCGCCCTGTGGAGTGAATCTACTCTAACAGGTAAACAGCTCCACTTATTTGTGAATAATCCGGTTTGTTATCAGCGGGTTCCAGCTCAGATGTTGCGTTGGGTTCAAACCGAACCGATCTGGCCGCTGTAGGTCGAACCGAGCCGGACTGACATGGGGAATAAATGTTGCTCGGAGTGTGGGTCGCTGCTCCCAGCTAACGTTAGCTGTCGGCGCTGGGTTGACTTGTGTTTTTTTCCCTCCTGGACAGACCTGGTGATGGATAGAGTTGATTTTTCAAAGGTTATATCTTGGTTTTATCTTTATTTATGTATGTTTTGTAAAATCGCTGCTCGGCGTGTCACGGAAAAGAAATGTTCGTGTTTTAGAAGCGGGTAAAGTAAAGCCAAGCCTGCCCATTGTTCTCTGCGAGTTGTTTACGACAAGCAGCAGCAGCAGCAGTCAGTGGTCAGTCTTCATGCAGCAGCGGCTCCTCTGCCTTTCTGACTGAACCATGTTGCATTTAATGCATCTCAATGCTTGACTTTACCTTCATCATGCAACCAGCTAGCAGTAAATATTCACGGATTTTTGTTGTTGGTTTCTTCGAGTTAAAGCCATCAGGATGTTTTTGCTAGAGCCTGCAAAATAATTCAAAATTCAGTGCGTTTTCAATTCATTTCAACAATTATTTCTTTATTTTTAAGTAAACGCGTATGATTTAAGTGTCTTTGGTAGCAGTCAGTGTTGCAGCTAATCTAAAGACACTTCTGACTGAAGATTTTCGATATGACAGTCTCATGACATGCTAACAACTCAGTTTCCCAACAGAGACAGTATTTCACTAACATGACCTGGATGACATCATCAGCTGTTAGGAAGCTCTGCTAATCCACCTCATTTGCTTTTGCTTCTCCTCTTTAAACTTCTATTTGGTTTTATGGTTGCTGTTATGGTTCTCTTTCTGCTCTGCATCCATGATGTCTCCTTTTCAACTCCTCTGGGATTTTTGGGTCGTAGTTCAGGCATGATTTGAGCTTATGAGATGCTAATCAGCAGCCTCCAGTTGTAAAATTGATGCCTTGTTGCCTCGGTTACGCATCATAACCTTTTTCTGAAGGCAGGAAAGTAAGAGCAAAAATACTTCCAGCTGCACAGCATTCAGTAATTATCCAAACATACAGCGACTTGACCAAAAATACAACCAATCAGAGCTAATGTAGCACCGCTATTCTAAAATATATGTTTTTTTATTAAACATTTACAACAAACTAATAGAAAATAGAGACAAATGTCACACACCTTGACAGCTTTAAAGTCACAAAAATGGAAACAACTTTCCAGTAATGCTAAATCTGGATTACGAATATATATATAAAACTACACAAGTGCACATTTGTTGCTGTCCAGTCATACCTAATATCCTGTGTGGAATAAAGTTTTCAATAGTTTTGAAATGAGAAGGGAAAGTTTTCCTCCTCGTGTTTGAGATCTTTCTGGATGTTGGATGTTTTGAAGTGGATCTGCTGCAGTTCTGCAGGTTCCCAACATAATGAGACCCTAAAAACACCCAGAGAAAGCTACAATGATCAAAGCATGTTCATGTGTTAGAAAGGCCTAGTCAAAGTCCAGGCTTAAATCCAAAAAGGAAGCTTATTAGATGCATCCTTGCCCCAACAAGCTAAACGTTTTCAGCTGCTCTGATCGCAATAATATCATATTAATCCAAGTACACCCTCTCCTAGATGAAAATAAAACTTTAATTTCTGAAAAATATTTAACACTGGAGCTGGAAAACAGTTTAAATACCCAAATAAATAAACAAACAAAACAAAACATGGATTATGGATTCTCTGTCACCAAAATTGTTTCAAAAATGATTAATTGTTTAAAACTGAAATGTTTGACACAGTTGACTGTGAAACCATTTATTCCTCATTCATGAAGAAAACCTCAAGATATTTTGACTCTAATGGAAAAGACTCAGTGCTTCGGTTTAGGATTTTATTAAACCTCCTTCAGTTGAATAAATGGCTGAGAGCAAACGGGGCAAATAACACAAACAGAAATGTTCATTCGATTTCCCAAACAAAGTTTTTCATCTTCTTTCTGAGTATCCTTTGAGCCGTATGACGGCTCGTTAGGGCCACTGAAGTAAGAAAAAAAAATTAATTTAGAAAAATTTCTAGAAAAAAACAAGGACATTTTTGAGCTCCAAAAGTGAAAAAAATTGCTAAAAAAATCTCCAAAATTTTGAGATTAATCTCAGAAAATTTCAAGAAAAAAAAAATCTAATTTCTGAGTTTGTAAAGTCAAAAATGTGCGGGGGACAAATTTTGAGATTAATCTAAGAAATTTTCAAACGTTGAAAAATGGGTTAAATAGCCAGAAACTTTGTAGATTTTATTTTATTTTATTTATTTTTTTTCAAAATTTTCTGAAATTCAAAAGTTGAATATTTGTGTGAGAAAACTCAGTAATGTTGAGATTAAACCCAGAAATGTTGAAGAAAAAACAAAGTTTCTGAGTCTAAAAGTTGGAGATTTGTTAGAAATTTTGAGCTTCCAGATGAACATTTTTGAGTTTCAAAAGTCGGAAATTTTCTGAGTTTCAAGAGTTTAAACTTTTTACACTTTTTGAAGCTCAGAAATTTCCTTGTTCATTCTAGTAATTTTCTGAGATCAATCTCAGAATTTCAGCGTTATTCGGCCGACATTTACTCCTTTTCATTGGTTTTCCATCGACAGTAGCCCCAATTCGCCGCCGTCTTCAGCGGCTGGCGTCTCCCGCTCAGATAGTTATCGTTTCCAGTGCCTCCCTGGCCGCGCCGGCGCTGCATAAAGCGTCTTTGTGCGACGCAGAGCATTCCCCGGCTGCCTGAGATCACATTGAGTGTTGCTCATGTTTGTGTCTGCTCTCCTCGCCCGGACGTCCAGCCACATGAGTCAGCAGTCGATTGAAACAGAGGGACGATTGAGCTGCGGATGCTGCGCCGCATCAGAAACAAGCGCTGAGCTGATTGGTCATGGAAGAAGCACAGCTGCGTTTGAAGAAACTTTCAGTTGATGGTCATGTTTTAGCAGCTTTCTCTGCTCGGACGTTTGGAGTGAGATCTGAGGAGCCGATGAGATCGGCTTGAGCTGAATCATTGTTCCAGGTTGGTGATAAGCTGCCTGGCATTAATGAGCTGCCCGTCAGGATTACACTGCAAATCTGCTGCCAACAGAATATCTAATCTTTGTTGATATTAGAAAACATCCAGGTTGTTAATTTTGATCTTCAGTTCCATTTTCCTAAATGAGGCCGAGGAAAGTTGGTGCCTCAGGAAAAGAAACTAAAGGCCTGGATTTATTTTATTAATCAGATCAAAGCAGTTTTTATCTGCCAAATTATCAATCAATACCTCCTGTTTTTTGCAATTCTGCAATTTTTAATGCACAATTTATTGCACATTTTCTACAAATGTTTCTACAGAAGCGTTTGTTTTAAGTGATGCTAACTCCCACCTGCAGGTGGCAGTATTTCTTACTTCTACTACTCTGCTGCTCCAGCCTGACTTGATATAAAGTTACTGTCTGTTCGGCATGGTGACTACAAAAGTCACATTTTCCGCCTAAAATAGGCGTAAATATTCCCAAATTACTTATAAATATTTCCAAACTAGCTTCACAAGTTCAGTGATATTCTAAGGAAAAATCACCAAAATGGCAAAAACCTGGAGGGACTGATTACTGGGATCAATCCATCAATGACAGGAAATAATTTCAAAATGCAACTCAAAAAATATTTATATTTTATTATTTTACAAATTAAAATTTCAGAATCCCAAAATTCAATTAATCAACAAAATTGATTTATCGCCCAGCATTAATCTGGATGAAGGCAAAAATGACTTATATGGTTAATCATAATTAATCAAAATTTTATTGCATCTTTAAAGGTTTTTCTTATTTTAAAAAATGAATTCAATTATTTATTTGCATCTTTTAATGTATTTCTAATATTTTTTATATAAAAAAGGCTCAAATGGATGAATGAAAAATCTGTAGAATGTGCCAATTTTTTTTATCAATCGATTGGAGTATACAAACTAAAAAAAATCCATTTGCTGTAAGAACAACATAGTCAGGGCAGTAAATAATCCAAAACCGTAAAAAAAATATACATTTTGTATTTATGATTTAAAAAAAAAAACATTTGTCTCTAAATATATTTTCCCAAAACTCCTCAGATTGCGTAGTGTTAGCTTCCGGTGTAAAGAACGCTGTGGTATCTCATTTAAAATGTTTTTCTTATTTTAAAAAACGAATTATTATATAGAAAATGTTTAAGTAGTTAAATGAGAAATCTGTAGAATGTGCCAATTTAAAAAAACGATTGTTAGAATAATCGATTTCTAAATTAATCGTTAGTTGCAGCTCCTGTCTGACTGTGTGCAGAATCCTCTCAGATTTTAAATGACCCAGAGACGTTCTGGATCCGTTTCTGACTCTGGGTTTGGGTTCTGACCCGCCAGCGGTGCCTGGAGACTGTATTGGTGGGCGGGCCCCAGGAGTCCTCCAGGCAAGCCGGGTCTGACACTGGGAGAGAAACGCGGCCTGCACCTCCAGCACTGCCACCATGGCCAGGGAGCAGCCCAACGTCGGGGACCTCCTCCCGCTCCTGGAGACCTCCGACCTCCAGCAGCTCGAAGAGATCCGGAGCCTCATCAACGAGCAGCTCAGCACCGGTGGGTCATCCGGCTCCGTCGACCTGAGCAGAAGTAAACGAACGAGCCGGTTAAAAATGCTGCTTCCCTTCCAGAGCGAGGCTCCATGCTGCTGAACGGGTTGGTGGACTACTTCCTGGAAACCAACTCCGCCCAGGCCCTGCATATCCTGTCCTCAGTCAGAGAGCCGCATGACAAGGTGAGAGTCCGATTCGTTTGTGATTAGCTCTGGCTGTTGCTCTCCTTTATTCCTTTAAGCATAAAAAACATCCGTTTTTTGCTAACTTTGCTTGTTGTAAACGCATCCAACCGTTTGTCCGCCGCCCAGCACCTTCTGGACAAGATGAACGACTGTATGGCCAAACCAGCTTGCCGGCTGCCCACCCTCATGCTGCTCGGCCACGTGGTCCGAAAGCAGCCGTCCTGGATCCACAAGATGGCCCGCTACCCTCTGCTGCTCTCCCTGCTGAAATGCCTCAAGGTGAGCCGCCATGTTGGCACGAAGCAGCAGGGCGAGATGGTTTGGTTTGTTATGATGATCGAGATTCTCATGGAGTTGTTGGTTTTTGGTGGCAGTGAGAACCAGAACCGTCTTCCTGTCACTCTGATTTAAACACCAAGGTTGGTCCTTCAGAATGGAGAGTCCTGATTCTAGAAGACACATTTAGGAAAGTCAGGTTATTAGCCAAGGATGGATGGAGGGATGGATGAATGGATGGATGGATGGATGAGTGAACTGATGGACGGATGGATGGATGACTGGATGGTTGGATGGATGGATGGATGGATGAGTGAACTGATGGATGGATGATGGATGGATGGATGGATGGATGAGTGAACTGATGGATGGATGGATGGATGGATGGATGGATGGAAGGATGATGGATGAGTGAACTAATGGATGGATGGATGACTGGATGGTTGGATGGATATATGAATGGTTGGATGGTTGATTGGATGGATAGTTAGATGGATGGAGGGTTGGATGACTAGATG